AGTCTGTGTTTTCATGCCCGGCGAGGAAGGAGGTTCTCACCCAAGATTTGACGGTACATGGCCCCGTCCATCGTCCCTTTGATGCGGTGAAGTTGTCCTGTCCCCTTAGCAGAAAACACCCCCCAAAGCATAATGTTTCCATCTCCATGTTTGACGGTGGGGATGGTGTTCTTGGGGTCATAGGCAGCATTCCTCCTCCTCCAAACACGGCGAGTTGAGTTGATGCCAAAGAGCTCGATTTTGGTCTCATCTGACCACAACACTTTCACCCAGTTCTCCTCTGAATCATTCAGATGTTCATTGGCAAACTTCAGACGTGCATGTATATGTGCTTTCTTGAGCAGGGAGACATTGCGGGCGCTGCAGGAATTCAGTCCTTCACGGCGTAGTGTGTTACCAATTGTTTTCTTAGTGACTATGGTCCCAGCTGCCTTGAGATCATTGACAAGATCCTCCCGTGTAGTTCTGGGCTGATTCCTCACCGTTCTCATGATCATTGTAACTCCACGAGGTGAGCTCTTGCAAGGAGCCCCAGGCCGAGGGAGATTGACAGTTCTTTTGTGTTTCTTCCATTTGCGAATAATCGCACCAACTGTTGTCACCTTCTCACCAAGTTGCTTGGCGATGGTCTTGTAGCCCATTCCAGCCTTGTGTAGGTCTACAATCTTGTCCCTGACATCCTTGGAGAGCTCTTTGGTCTTGGCCATGGTGGAGAGTTTGGAATCTGATTGATTGATTGCTTCTGTGGACAGGTGCCTTTTATACAGGTAACAAACTGAGATTAGGAGCACTCCCTTTAAGAGTGTGCTCCTAATCTCAGCTCGTTACCTGTATAAAAGACACCTGGGAGCCAGAAATCCTTCTGATTGAGAGGGGGTCAAATACTTATTTACCTCATTAAAATGCAAATCAATTTATAACATTTTTGACATGCGTTTTTTTGTTGTTGTTATTCTGTCTCTCACTGTTCAAATAAACCTACCATTAAAATTATAGACTAATCATTTCTTTGTCATTGGGCAAACGTACAAAATCAGCAGGGGATCAAATACTTTTTTCCCTCACTGTAAGTATGTTTATTGTGTTCTAATATCCTTTGAGACTTTTTCTGGTAGATGTTTTCTAAGACCCCTTTTCCATCTGTTTGACCAGAAATCAAAGCCTTTGCTTATTCCTAATTTTTAGAATGGAAAATGGTTGAAATACTTATATATGCCTTAATTTCTCTTAGCTTTCATTTGACACCCAATCTGACATGCCCCCTCCAGACCACCAGTAGTGAACTGTCCTCCTGCCCCCTCCAGACCACCAGTAGTGAACTAACCTCCTGCCCTCTATCCTCCAGACCACCAGTAGTGAACTAACCTCCTGTCCTCTATCCTCCAGACCACCAGTAGTGAACTAACCTCCTGCCCTCTATCCTCCAGACCACCAGTAGTGAACTAACCTCCTGTCCTCTATCCTCCAGACCACCAGTAGTGAACTAACCTCCTGTCCTCTATCCTCCAGACCACCAGTAGTGAACTAACCTCCTGTCCTCTATCCTCCAGACCACCAGTAGTGAACTAACCTCCTGTCCTCTATCCTCCAGACCACCAGTAGTGAACTAACCTCCTGTCCTCTATCCTCCAGACCACCAGTAGTGAACTAACCTCCTGTCCTCTATCCTCCAGACCACCAGTAGTGAACTAACCTCCTGTCCTCTATCCTCCAGACCACCAGTAGTGAACTAACCTCCTGTCCTCTATCCTCCAGACCACCAGTAGTGAACTAACCTCCTGTCCTCTATCCTCCAGACCACCAGTAGTGAACTAACCTCCTGTCCTCTATCCTCCAGACCACCAGTAGTGAACTAACCTCCTGTCCTCTATCCTCCAGACCACCAGTAGTGAACTAACCTCCTGTCCTCTATCCTCCAGACCACCAGTAGTAAACTAACCTCCTGCCCTCTATCCTCCAGACCACTAGTAGTGAACTAACCTCCTGTCCTCTATCCTCCAGACCACTAGTAGTGAACTAACCTCCTGTCCTCTATCCTCCAGACCACCAGTAGTGAACTAACCTCCTGTCCTCTATCCTCCAGACCACCAGTAGTGAACTAACCTCCTGTCCTCTATCCTCCAGACCACCAGTAGTGAACTAACCTCCTGTCCTCTATCCTCCAGACCACCAGTAGTAAACTAACCTCCTGCCCTCTATCCTCCAGACCACCAGTAGTGAACTAACCTCCTGTCCTCCTGCCCCCTCCAGACCACCAGTAGTGAACTAACCTCCTGTCCTCCTGCCCCCTCCAGACCACCAGTAGTGAACTAACCTCCTGTCCTCTATCCTCCAGACCACCAGTACTGGCAGCAGCAGGATGAGTTCAGACGGGGGTGGCCGGCTGGCCAAGGTGGGTTCCCGGGTGGAGGTGATTGGGAAGGGGCACCGCGGCACAGTGGCATATATCGGTGCCACACTCTTCTCCACGGGGAAGTGGGTGGGCGTGATCCTGGACGAGCCCAAGGGGAAGAACGATGGCACGGTCCAGGGGAAGAGATACTTCACCTGCCATGAGAACCACGGCATCTTCGTACGACAGTCACAGGTAGGTAACACAACTGGGTTATGGTGACTGTATTATCAATGAACAGAACAGAAAGGCCTGCGTGGGTTATGGTGACTGTATTATGGTGACTGTATTATGGTGACTGTATTATGATTATGGTGACTGTATTATGGTGACTGTATTATGGTGACTTTATTATGGTGACTGTATTATGATTATGGTGACTGTATTATGGTGACTGTATTATGGTGACTGTATTATGGTGACTGTATTATGATTATGGTGACTGTATTATGGTGACTGTATTATGGTGACTGCCTGAAACACACTAACACCTTTACTGGTCATATTTCCATCCAGAGGATGTTCATCAGGTCAAACGATGAAGAAACGCATGCGTGTACACACACACACACACACACACACACACACACACACACACACACACACACACACACACACACACACACAACACACACACACACACACACACACACACACACACCACACACACACACACACACACACACACACCACACACACACACCACACACAACACACATCCACCACACACACGGACCACACTACAACACACACACAGCACACCACACACTCCCACACCACCCACCATACACAGCACACACTTACTTTCACAAGTTATCATGACTATTCCCGAGTGGCTGTTACTAAGATCTAGAGCTCCTGAGCTGGCAGAGCCTGCAGTAGGTGTGAGCTACAAAGGTTGCTGTGGATACCACAATCATTCATATTCAGCTGCTCTGTGATCAGATTTCATCCCTCTTTCTCTCTCCTCCTCTCCTCCTCTCCTCTCTCCTCCCCTCCTCCTCCTCCTCCTCCTCTCCCTCCTCTCCTCCTCCTCCTCCTCCTCCTCCTCCTCCTCCTCCTCTCTCCTCTCCTCCTCCTCCTCCTCCTCCTCCTCCTCCTCCTCCTCCTCTCTCCTCCCTCCTCCTCCTCCTCCTCCTCCTCCTCCTCTCCTCCTCCCCTCCTCTCTCCTCTCCTCTCCTCCTCCTCCTCCTCCTCCTCCTCCTCCTCCTCCTCCTCCTCCTCCTCTCTCCCTCTCCTCCTCCTCCTCCTCCCTCCTCCTCCTCCTCTCTCCTCTCCTCCTCTCTCCTCTCCTCTCTCCTCTCTCCTCTCTTCTCTTCTTCTCTCCTCTCCTCTCCCTCTTTCTCCTCTCCTCCTCCCTCCACCAGATCCAGCTGGTTGATGATGGAGCAGACACCACCTCTCCTGACACCCCAGAGCCGGCCTCCAACAAGGTCCCCAAACACGGTGATGAGACAGAACACACAGAATAATGACAGAGAGATGGAAGGAAGCCAGGTCTGCCTTGTAAAAGAGATTGTAAACCTCAGTGAGACTTTCCTGGTTGAAAAAGGTTAAATAAATAAAACATAAAGGAGCAGAGAGCCTTGAGTTATTATTGTTCCTTGAATGGTACACTGATTAGGTTTCTATAGTGATCCTCTGCAGATGAAAGGATGTGAACTTTGTCATATTGTGAGGGACAAAAGCAAACAGGACAGGGCAGTAGACGTGCGTGTGCATGCATGTAAACATCTCTCTCTCTCTATTAGAGACCAGAGACCGTGTCTGGGGTACTGCTTGGTATAGAGGTGCCAATGGGCTGTTGCCATGGTTATAGCTCACTGCTGCAGTGAGGGGGGGCGTACTCTGTTTTTGGAAATTACACCGAGAGCGCAGGGGAGAGAGAGGAGAGAGAGAGAGAGAGGAGAGAGAGAGAAGAGAGAGAGAGAGAGAAGGAGAGAGAAGAGAGAGAGAGAGAGAGAAGGAGAGAGAGAAGAGAGAGAAGGAGAGAGAAGGGGGGGGGGAAGAGAAGAGGAGAGAGAGAGGAGGAGAGAGTCTCTTCCTCTCTCTCTCTCTCTCCTTCTCTTCTCTCTCTACTCTCTCTCTCTCTCTCTCTCTCCTCCTTCTCTCTCTCTCTCTCTCTCGTCTTTCTCCTCTCTCTCTCCTCCTTTCTCTTCTCCCTTCTCTCCTTCTCTCTCTCTCTTCTCTTGCTCTCTCTCTCTTCTCTCCTTCCTTTCCCTTTCTCTCTCCCTGCTTTTCTCCTTCCCTCTCCCTTCCCTCCCTAAAAGACCGGCCCTCCGGCAGCGCGGGAAGAGAGGGAGATTAGACAAAGTAAAAGAGGGCAGAGACCTGACATCACAGCAGGTCATTATCAGGTTATAGAGGTTAAAAACAGTAGCGTTTTGCGATAGGGCTCTGGTCAAACGTAGTGCACTATACAGGAAACAGAGTACCAGTTGGGACACAGCCTATGGCACCTGTATTGTTAGTAGTACTCAGATTCAGGATCTGTATTGATAGTAGTACTCAGAACTCAGATTCAGGATCTGTATTGTTAGTAGTACTCCCGATTCAGGATCTGTATTGAAGTAGTACTCAATTCAGGATCTGTATTGTTATAGTACTCAGATTCAGGATCTGTATTGTTAGTAGTACTCAGATTCAGGATCTGTATTGTTAGTAGTAGTTAGATTCAGGGTCTGTATTGTTAGTAGTAGTTAGATTCAGGATCTGTATTGTTAGTAGTACTCAGATTCAGGATCTGTATTGTTAGTAGTACTCAGATTCAGGATCTGTATTGTTAGTAGTACTCAGATTCAGGATCTGTATTGTTAGTAGTACTCAGATTCAGGATCTGTATTGTTAGTAGTAGTTAGATTCAGGATCTGTATTGTTAGTAGTACTCAGATTCAGGATCTGTATTGTTAGTAGTAGTCAGATTCAGGAACTGTATTGTTAGTAGTAGTTAGATTCAGGATCTGTATTGTTAGTAGTAGTTAGATTCAGGATCTGTATTGTTAGTAGTAGTTAGATTCAGGATCTGTATTGTTAGTAGTACTCAGATTCAGGATCTGTATTGTTAGTAGTACTCAGATTCAGGATCTGTATTGTTAGTAGTAGTTAGATTCAGGAACTGTATTGTTAGTAGTACTCAGATTCAGGATCTGTATTGTTAGTAGTACTCAGATTCAGGATCTGTATTGTTAGTAGTAGTCAGATTCAGGAACTGTATTGTTAGTAGTAGTTAGATTCAGGATCTGTATTGTTAGTAGTAGTTATATTCAGGATCTGTATTGTTAGTAGTAGTTAGATTCAGGAACTGTATTGTTAGTAGTAGTTAGATTCAGGATCTGTATTGTTAGTAGTAGTTAGATTCAGGATCTGTATTGTTAGTAGTAGTCAGATTCAAGATCTGTATTGTTAGTAGTAGTTAGATTCAGGATCTGTATTGTTAGTAGTAGTTAGATTCAGGATCTGTATTGTTAGTAGTACTCAGATTCAGGATCTGTATTGTTAGTAGTAGTTAGATTCAGGATCTGTATTGTTAGTAGTAGTTAGATTCAGGATCTATATTGTTAGTAGTAGTTAGATTCAAGGTCTGTATTGTTAGTAGTAGTTAGATTCAGGATCTGTATTGTTAGTAGTTAGATTCAGGATCTGGAATTGTTATTAGTAGTTAGATTCAGGATCTGTATTGTTAGTAGTAGTTAGATTCAGGATCTGTATTGTTAGTAGTAGTTAGATTCAGGATCTGTATTGTTAGTAGTAGTTAGATTCAGGATCTGTATTGTTAGTAGTAGTTAGATTCAGGATCTGTATTGTTAGTAGTAGTTAGATTCAAGGTCTGTATTGTTAGTAGTAGTCAGATTCAGGAACTGTATTGTTAGTAGTAGTTAGATTCAGGATCTGTATTGTTAGTAGTAGTTAGATTCAGGATCTGTATTGTTAGTAGTAGATATATTCAGGATCTGTATTGTTAGTAGTAGTTAGATTCAGGATCTGTATTGTTAGTAGTAGATATATTCAGGATCTGTATTGTTAGTAGTAGTTAGATTCAGGATCTGTATTGTTAGTAGTAGTTAGATTCAGGATCTGTATTGTTAGTAGTAGTTAGATTCAGGATCTGTATGCAGGTCTCTTTCTTTCTTTCTTTCTTTCTTTCTTTCTTTCACTCACTCACTCACTCACTCACTCACTCACTCACTCACTCACTCACTCACTCACTCACTCACTCACTCACTCACTCACTCTTTCTCTCTCTCTCCTCAGAGATCCTGGAGACACCCAAGTCCACTAAACTGGTGAGTAAGACCGACAGAGCTACAGACGGGAAGACAGGACCGGGGTCAAAGGTCACTGCTGTCAGCCAGTGCAGTCTGACCCAGAGAAGGGTTAAAATGCCCTTACATAACCGTTGTATTGCATATCCTACAGTTATTACATATTAAAGGAATCATGTGTATCTGAGCTACTGCCCTTCAAGCTGGCAGAAATACAGCCGCTATGAGTTCTGCATCATTGGTGTGACGAGTTCTGCATCATTGGTATGACGAGTTCCTCATCATTGGTATGACGAGTTCTGCATCATTGGTATGACGAGTTCTGCATCATTGGTATGACGAGTTCTGCATCATTGGTATGACGAGTTCTGCATCATTGGTATGACGAGTTCTGCATCATCGGACTATGGAGAAAACATAGTCAATGAAGAAGACAGCTGGAGTGCAGTGTCTCTGGGGTGATCTATGTCTCCGTCAGGGAGCAAAAAAGTCCAGGACTGAAGGGGCAAGCACTAGGCTAAGATGAAATTATGCGTTCTTGACCGCAGATTTTGGCATTCCAAACGCTGCCAAAGACCCAGAATTCCACATGTGGTTGTGCGCGCATGGTACACTAATTAGAGGGTTCAGCCAAGGGTTGGGAGCGTCTGTAAAGACCTAAGGAGAGGAGCCAACAGGTATAGAAAACACACACATAGTTGACAAAGCTACAAAAGAGCAAAGGAATAATCTTGTAATACCTAGTCCGATACTGAATAGTAAGAGTGGTGTGGAACCTTCCTCTCTTTCATTCCTCCAAAAACAACCCACTGCAGACAACTCGACAAGAACAACTCGACAGAAAAACTCGGCAGAACCACTCGACCAGAACGTCATTTGTTTTCGGCAGACGGTCTTAGTTTTGGCACAAAACCGCTACTGACAACACCAGCACACTTACAACTTAACATTTCGCAAGGCAGAACATTTTTTTCTCTAGACTAAATATCCCGTGAGGGAAAAAAGGATTTGATCCCCTGACCTGATTTTGTACGTTTGCCCTCTGACAAGAACTGATCATTCTATCATTTTAAATTGGGAGGTTTATTTTGAACAGTGAGGACACCAAAAAAATCCAGAAAAAACGCATGTCAAAATGTTATAACTTGCTTTGCATTTAATGCGGGAGATTAAGTAGTCTGACCCTCAGGCAAACATTGACTTAGTACTTGGTGGCAAAACCCGTGTTGCAATCACAGAGGTCAGCACTTTTCTTGTGTTGGGCAACCAGGTTTTCACACAGCTCAAGGAGGGATTTTGCTCCACGCCTCTTTGCAGATCTTCTCCAAGTCATTAAGGTTCTAGGCTGACGTTTGGCAACTCGAACCTTCAGTCTCCTCCACGTTTTTCTAATGGGATTAAGGTCTGGAGACTGGCTGGCCCACTTCAGACCTTATGTGCTTCTTCTTGAGAGCCAACTCCTTTGTTGCCTTGGCCGTAGTGTTTTGAGTCATTGTCATGCCTGGAATAACACCAGCCACAACCCTTTTCAATGCCCCTGGCTGAGGAGGGAGGTTCATCAACCCAGATTTGAACGGGTACAAATGGCCCCGTCCATCGGTCCCTTTGATGCTTTAAAGTTGTCCTTTCCCCCTTAGCCGAAAAACAACCCCACAAGCATAATGTTTTCCCATCACCATGTTTGAGCGTGGGTGGGGATGGTGTTAACTTGGGGTCAGAGGACAGCATATTGCCGTAACCTCCTCATCTCCAAACAACGGCGATTGAGTTTATTGCCAAAGAGCCTCGATTTTGGTCTCATCTGCACAAAACAACACTTTCATCACCCATAGTCTTTCTCCTCTGAATCAGTCAGAGGTTCCTTGGCAAACTTCAGGAACGTGCCTGTAATATGTGCTGTAAAAATCTTGAGAAACAGTGGTGAGGAGAAACATTGCAAGGAAAAGCAGCTAGCAGGAATTCAGTCTTCACGGTCGGGTGGAGTGGTGGTGATATACCAAAAATTAAGGTGTGGTTTTTCTGTGTATTGACTAGTGTTCAAAAGCAAAACCAGCATGGCCTTGAAAAAATCAAATTGGGCCAGGAGAAATCCAAGGGGCCTGGGGGCAAGACCAGGTGTGTGAGTAGAATAGCTTGTGCTGATTCCATCGGGGGAAATACCAAACACAGTT